AAATACCATCTAAACTTTTCTAAAGACAGTAAGTTCCCCTCAGACATGCATTCATATAAACTCCTACACCTAAATGAATCGCGATTTGTTTAGCATCTCAACCAGTTTGAATAGTCACATATTTGAATCGATTTTCAACCGGCTCGCGGTTAATCGTTACATCCCTACTGATTGATCTTAAAATATGTCAGTGCCCTTGTTTTGTGTCGAGATGCTTACCAGTAATGTTTTTTTAAGGCATGCTTATAAAAATGACTTAAATGTGCTAATTTAACTGTGGCCTAATCCTGGCTTAACCTAAACCCTGTCTGTGAAACCAGGCATTAACACTTAAAACCATGAAAAACCTAAACTTGATAAATGTAAATGAATATTTGAAATGTTTCCTTGGCAACTAACTTAAATATGTTTTAAGTTCTAAAATTGCTAAAACTAAAACTGAAATAAAATAAAGCTGTATAATATAACACTGGTGCACAGTATACATACTACATACTGCAAGAGTAGTATCCTATTCTGAATTTTTATTTAAAAAGAGGGAAAATCCTGTTTTCCATTATACATCCCCTTTAATAGAGCTGTTTGTTCAAAGATTTTTTTTTTTTTTTCTTTTCTTCAGGTTCCAAACGTTGGTTTCAGTGGAGAAAGGAAATTGAATTACTGTCTGATCTGACCTACTATGTCTTAACAACTTCATCTGGTGAGTTACTATCAGACGCTGGGCGAGGAGTATGTCAGCATCATCCAGGTGGACCCCAGCAAGAGAAGAATCCCCTCGCGGATGCGCAGAACCGCACTCATCGTCTGCCACACAATTGTGCCTTATCTTTTGGACAAGGTCTTGATCTGCATTGAGAATGAGCTGGAAGCAGAAGCACCTCAGACGAGCAGAACCTGGAGGCCGTTATCACATGTGCGGCTGTGGATTCAGAGAGCAGTAGGGATGCTGACGGAGCTATCAGACGCTGGGCGAGGAGTATGTCAGCATCATCCAGGTGGACCCCAGCAAGAGAAGAATCCCCTCGCGGATGCGCAGAACCGCGCTCATCGTCTGCCACACAATTGTGCCTTATCTTTTGGACAAGGTCTTGATCTGCATTGAGAATGAGCTGGAAGCAGAAGCACCTCAGACGAGCAGAACCTGGAGGCCGTTATCACATGTGCGGCTGTGGATTCAGAGAGCAGTAGGGATGCTGACGGAGTCCCAGAGGAAGGCTCTGATTCCGCTCGTATTTGCCCTGCAGCAAGGGATCACACTGCTGTACAGACTACATGTGGCCCTCTTTTACATCACTGGAGCCTTTTACCACATTGGCAAAAGAACTGCGGGTGTCAGTTATGTAAGTATTTGTTAGGGATTATTATCGGAATCGGCCGATAATGGCTTAAAATGTAAATATCGGCATCGGCCCGATATGAAAAATCATGCCGATATTTTACCAGAATGGTGATTCGATTCACTATTTTTGGATCGCAGCATTTAATCTGAGAATGCAAGTACAGAATAACGTGTCCGGTGTGCGATAGAGTTATTTACGTAGGGGGCGCTGTTGGCCTACTTGTAATAAAATGAAAAAAACATAACACAGATTTGTTCATTAATGTGTAATATGTTTTTTTTTCGCCAAACGGATTATGAAAACTTAAATACAAGGAGCTCTAAAAGATTTTCAGGATTTTTAAAACTCCTTTGCTTTAGACCATCTACAAAAATGTTGCCACTGCATCTGTCTGAAAAAAAAAGACAGTGATTGATTTATTGTTATTTTCAAAGCTTTCAATGTACTCTCAGTATTAAAGAACTCCGTTATTGTTTATTTAATTCTAACAAGTAGGTTTTTGTTAGAAACGAACCGAAATTAAAAATAATTTGTTTATAATCTCTGCACAGGAGAGACTTGGTGTTGTTTCCAAACAAAGGGAAATATATCGGTATCGGCTATCGGCCAAAATGTGTTGAAAAATACTGGCATATTGGCAAAAATCCAATATTGTGCATCCCTAGTATTTGTTCTTTAGCTATTATAAAATCCGTAATGTTGGAATAAGATCCTATATGTTGTATTAATAAATCACAGTAATACAGCAGAGGATTTATGTTAAATTATTTCTTTCTTAAATTCTAAAAAGTACTGTATGAGAGCAAAATACCATGGTACTTCAGTACACACTAAGGCACTAAATAATAACCATATTCATGTGTCAAAGTGTTTACATTGTACTCCAATGTGCTTCACAGAATACTGTGGTATTACCATGGTAACATGTCCAAAACATGCTAATATCTTGGTACCTAGTCTTTAAGTGATTGATTGCTTTAAAAACACCCACTTTTCACCATATCATTGTAGCATTTGGTTCTGAGGCTTTTCTTCCCCATTCAACCAATTCCTGATCATTAAAATCAAGGATCACTTTTTTATTTAGAATACTGTGGTATTACCATGGTAACATGTCCAAAACATGCTAATATCTTGGTACCTAGTCTTTAAGTGATTGATTGCTTTAAAAACCCACTTTTCACCATATCATTGTAGCATTTGGTTCTGAGGCTTTTCTTCCCCATTCAACCAATTCCTGATCATTAAAATCAAGGATCACTTTTTTATTTTTCTTATTGAATATCCTGTTTTACTCACTACCATTCAAAAGTTTGGGGTCAGTAAAAATTATTTTTTCTTTTTAAAAAATTATGTTTTTCAGACATTTATTTGATCGAAAAATACAATAATATGACCAATAATATTCGAAAATAATAAACAGTAATATTGTGAAATATTATTATAATTTTAAATAACCGATTTCTATGTAAATATGTCTTAAACTAATTTATTTCTGTGATGTAAAGCTGAATTTTCAGCATCATTACTCCAGTCTTCAGTGTCACATGATCCTTCAGAAATCATTCTAATATGCTGATTTGCTGCTCAAGACACATTTCTGATTATTATCAATGTTATAAATAGTTTTATATTTTGTTGGAAACAGTGATACAGTGAACAGTGATTTTTTTTTTACCAGAATTTTTGGATAAATAGAAAGTTAAGTTAAGTTTATAAAGTTAAGTTAAACAGCATTTATTTGATATAAATAATAATATAATATATATAAATATATATTAAATATATAATAATATAAATCTTTTGTAATATTCTAAATGTATTTACTGTCACTATACATTTCTTTCAGGGAAGAAAAAATACTGACCCCAAACTTTTGAACAGTATTGTACGTCAAATTACTGAAATGTCAAAGTTGGATTTGTGTGAGCGTGTTTATGTGTTTGCTTTAGCTGAGAGTGGGAAATGTGGCTGGCGATGACCCACGGATCAGTAACAGTTACCGTCTGCTGGGGGCTCTGTCTCTTCTGCAGCTGGGCATCACTCTCACACTGCAGTTTAACAACCTCAGGCAGAGACAGAGAGCTCGACACGAGTGGAAACAGCACAGAAACCTGCTCCCCAGGTAGCGCTCTATACAATCATGGCCTACATTTGACAAATGCTTTTCAGCTTTTTCATAAAACACTCTTTCAATAGAAAAAAGACCTGTATTGCCCTAAGGCTTGTTCCTTTTACTGCTGTTTCCCCCATTTTTTTTTTTTTGGTGGGTCATTGTCGTAATATAACTATTTATTTTATTAAATTTTTTCTTGATTTTTTTTTACAAAGTCAAAAAAAAAAAAACTAGGTGTCCTAAGATCATAATTAAGGTCAGTGTGGTGTAACCATAATAGCAGGATGCCATGATGAAATCCATAAATCAGAAATTATTTCACAGAAAGGACCCTCGATCACTGTGTGTCATCATAAGTAAATATTTTAAAAATATATAAAATATTGCAACCTTTTTTTCCGTTGTGGGCTAATTCAGGTTATCAAATTGTAAAACCCCAAACTTTAAAATTTTGTTTGAAGGTTATTTCTTTTACTTGATGGTTACATCACTTTTTCACATTTTTGAGTTATTAAAGCAAAAATGGTATAATTACTTATAGAAAAAAAAATGTATAAATATGTTAAGAAGCAGAATGAAACCAGAATGGATTTAGATATTGCATTTGGATGACTTGGCACAGAATATTAACCATTGTTCTTATTTGTCTTTTACCGTTTTTTTTTCTTCTTCATTAGTTTTGTGGTTGTGGTTAGTTTTTGTGGTTGTTCAGGTATTCTCTGTTTTTCCTTTCAGTCATCAGGTCAGCCAGTCGTCGTCTCGTTCCTCGCGCTGTGTCTTGTGTTTGGAGGAGCGCAGGAACACCAGCAGCACTCCCTGTGGTCATCTCTTCTGCTGGGAGTGCATTACTGAGTGGTGCAATACCAAGGCAAGACTTTTATATAACGTAATGCAGTGGTGTAAGGTTCAACATTACTGATGTCTGATCAGTCATTTTCTTTGTTGCTCTCATTATAAACTGAATGCCCGCTGTGTCGAGAGAAATTCCAGCCTCACAGATTGGTTTTCCTGAGAAACTACAACTAGACCGTGGGATGATCAAGACTAAGAGAATTTAACTCTGTTTGCATTAGTTTTTAACAATTGCATGATGTGGAAATGACTGTGTATTTTGTACAAAATGCACAAAAGAATACAAATTTATTCCTGTAATTTAATTTGTTGATTATGCAGATTATTTAATGGCAATTGTAACATTCCTCAAATAAAATAAGTCTGTAATATTTTTTTATAGAACTTGGTGTTTGTATTGCTTCACACAGTTTTACATCTCTTTCATCACGCATAAAACTCATCATAAAGATGAGACAATCTACTGAAAACAAATTGCGTGTGTCATTGTTCGATGACAACTTCGAACTGCATCCTCTAGGGGTCGCTATGGGGAATGCCTTCAGTGTGACCGGTGTCTGAAGCATACATCTAAAAACTACAATAACATTGGCCGGCGACAGCCTATGACGTCATTACCCTGCGCGATCACAGTATAAAAGGGCGCCGGGATAACACATCATCTTCTTCTTCGTCTTCACTGACCGTTTGTTTATGTTAGTGTTAAGCTAAACAAGACTAGGAGTGCATGTTCTCTCGCCAGAAGCTTTGCTCTGATACCCGCAGTTTCACATAGCTCGTGTGCTGTGTGTGTGTGGTGAAGAGCAAGCGCGTTCAGCTCAGTTGGATGTGCTCTGCATTCATTGCTTATTTCTTGTAAGGGATAAGCATGAAGACGCACGTCTCACGAGATGACTTGTGCTCATCGTGATGCATTCGCGGGACTACTGAGGGGGAGGTGAGTACTTCACCATTTACCTGAGTTGGCAGATAGCGTTTGCATGAGTGCGTTCGCCTCTCGCGGGAATAGCGATGCATTCGCGGCAGCAGTTTTCATTCGCGCTTGATTTCCAAGGTAATCTAGCGGTTGGGCGGAGCGTGTTTCGCTCCCGCGGGAGCTGAATGCATGCTGCGCATTGCGTTGCGGTGAGAACATGGAAAGGACCTGACGGGAAATTTCTCCCTATCAGTAATTTCCTTTTGTTTATAGGAAGTGTATAGTGTGGGTATGACTGCAGTTGTTGGACAGATGATTTATATCATGTCCTTCTCAGATAACCACATTATACTGCACTCCGGCTTGAAGTTAACCCTTCTTGCCCCACGTATGATGAGCTGCTTGAGGTTATGGATCACGCACACCTCAGCATTCATTGCTTATTTCTTGTGAGGGATAAGCATGAATTGAACGCGCTCGTCTCACGAGGAGACGGCTTGTGCTCATCGTGATGCATTCGCGGGACTACTGAGGGGGAGGTGAGTACTTCACCATTTACCTGAGTTGGCAGATAGCGTTTGCATGAGTGCGTTCGCCTCTCGCGGGAATAGCGGCGCATTCGCGGCAGCGGTTTCCGTTCTCGCTTGATTTCTGAGGTAATCTAGCGTTTGGTCGGGAGCTGAATGCATGCTGCATGTTGCAGCTGCGGTGAGAACATGGAAAGGACCTGACGGGAAATTTCTCCCTATCAGTAATTTCCTTTTGTTTATAGGAAGTGTATAGTGTGGGTATGACTGCAGTTGTTGGACAGATGATTTATATCATGTCCTTCTCAGATAACCACATTATACTGCACTCCGGCTTGAAGTTAACCCTTCTTGCCCCACGTATGATGAGCTGCTTGAGGTTATGGATCACGCACACCTCAAGGCTGCCTCGATGAGCGTTTTCTTTCTAGCCATAGCCCTCCAGCTCAGGTGAGCCTTCCATTCCTTCCCGATCTTCATGTGGAGATCGAGAAGGCTTGGAAAAATCCATTCTCGTCCCGCATCCACAGATTCCAGCATACTAGTTATGCCAACATCGAGGGGATGCGTGAGAATGGTTATGGAAAGATGCCCCCTGTTGAAGAGACGCTGGCCTGCTATCTCTCCATGGGGGAGACATCTTCTCTTAAGGCTCCCTTCCTGCCATCCAAACCCCTTCAGGATACATCTCGTTTGAATGGCAGGGCATACGCGGCAGCAGGTCAGGCTGCAGCCTCGTTGCACACTATGGCGGTGCTTCAGGCTTATCAAGCTGATCTGCTGAAAGTGGATAAAGGCAGGGTCTATCCTCTGATGAGGTGGCTGAGTTGCGTCACACCACGGATCTTGCTCTCCGTGCCGCTAAACAGGCCGCCACTGCCATTGGCAGATCCATGGCGGCCATGGTGGTTATGGAGAGACATCTGTGGTTGAGTCTGGTGGATATCGGGTTGAAAGAGAAGGGCTTTCTTCTTGATGTGCCGGTTTCCCCTTCTGAGCTTTTCGGCACTTCCGTCGAGACGGTGGTCGTGAGGTTTAAGGAGCCTGAGTCATGCGCGGGAGCCATGGTTGGTGAGTACGATCCATTTTTATCTTCTCTACTGCTAGTTCTTGTGTATTCGATGCTAGCCTTTCTCTGCAGCGCTAC